AGGCCTGCTTGAAAACACTTCATCCATTATCTCCAAACAATCATGTTGACTTTCAGTAGTCTGGGGCAGAAGGGTAGCTGGATTCAAATTATTGACAGTTTCGAGGTGTACTCTTGGATTTTCACATAACATGGCTTGATATTTGGTCATTCGACTGTTGCTAAACCAATGATTTCCTTTGTAATCCAATAAGGTCTGTACTGCATGGGGTACTCGCACATAGAGTTCCTGACCCAATGTAAGTTTGTCAGCTTCCGCTACCAACAAAGCTGCAACAGCCACTGCATCCAACTGTTTGGACAAGTAGGCTACAGGTCTTTGCCATGATCCCAAATACTGAGTTAATACTCCCACAGCCATTCTTCTTTGCTCATGTACGTACAGGTAGAAAGGACGCGAGTGATCTGGTAGGCCTAGTGCTGGGGCACTCATAAGTGCTTTCTTGATATCTTCAAATGCCTTTTGTTTTTCTGTGGTCCATGGGAAGGGATCATGTTCCGTGCCTTTTACAGCTTCATACAAGGGTTTCGCCAGTATCGCATAATTAGGAATCCATATCCTACAGAATCCTGCTGCTCCTAAGAATTCTCACACTTGTCTCCTATTCTTAGGTATAGATATCCGACACACTGCTTCTTTTCTTTCAGGTCCCATTATTCTTTGACCTTCGGAAATATGGAATCCTAAATATTTAACAGTTGGCTGGCACAATTGTGCTTTCTTCCTTGATACCTTGTATCCTGCTCTCCATAGAATGTGAAGCAAATCATAAGTTGCTTGTTGGCATATCTCTTTAGTAACAGCCGCTATCAAAAGATCATCCACGTATTGAAGCAATACATTCTCCTAGGATGGACTTGAAATCTTGCAAATCCTGACTTAATGCAGATCCAAATAGGGTAGGTAAATTCTTAAACCCTTGAGGTAGTCTGGTCCAGGTCATCTGACGCTTTGAACCTGTAACAGCATCTTCCCATTGGAAAGCAAAGATACACTGACTCTCAGCAGCAATCCGAAGGCAAAAGAAAGCATCCTTAAGGTCTAGAACTGTGAAGTAGGTTGCCTCACCTGGTATCAAAGCAAGCAGATTATAAGGGTTGGGTACAACTAGGTGTATATTGACTACTGCATCATTAACTGCTCTCAAATCTTGTACAGGACGATATTCATCTGATCCTGGTTTCTGAACAGGTAATAATGGAGTGTTCCAGGGGGAAGTACAGAATTTTAGGATTCCATACCTTACGAATTTATCCAAGTATGTCTGTATGTTTTTCTTAGCCTTTTGAGGTATATGATACTGACTTAGGCTCACAGGATAGGCCCCAAGCTTTAGTTCAATATGTATCGTTGGGATATTAGCAAGACAAACAAGAAGTGTACCTGCATATAATGAGTATTAAATCAAGAACAAAATAAGTTCGATAATAAGTATACCAGTCTCAGACAAATATGCTGAGAGGATATACTATTAGGCAAAGTATACCACTGATATATAATCCAAGGAAGAAAATAATAAACAAATTTTATTGAATAATATTAAAACCAAAACGTGCTAGTGTACATGTGTGAAAACCACTAATAAGTGCTACAATAAATACCCAAAAGTAAGTGTGCAAATCTAAAAAGATAAAAAGGTATCTGCCAGTGGTTTAGTCTCTATATATCAGGACTGGCAAACAATCACCAGGCCACTTGGTAGATGTAACCGGAAACTAAAAAATATATACTAATAAATATCAGCAATTAATGCAGCTATACCAAGTGCTAAGGGATTGTAACCAGTATTATAAGAAATTAGTGAGAACTTGATAATCAAAAAGATTTTGATAATAATGTATGGATACAGAACAGAGAGAGCACAGCTCGGCATACAAGCGAGGATAGTAAAGGTCACAACGAGTGTATTAGCAACATTGTAGCTGAAACTTAAAATGCATGAAAAGTCCAATGTTTCATAGTGGATCTCAATAAGCAGCTACAACTAATCCGACTGTGTTTGAAAAGTCAGAATATAAAGATACACTGTGAAGAGCAGATATAACGCTAGATATATGTTGCAGCTGTAGCAAAAATTAACTCTGTGCCTTCGAGGGCACCTAACAATCGTCCCGCTTACATGGAGTGAATCAAACATGAAATTAACTGTTTAAGTAACGGTTAAACTCTATATAGAGCA